CCACGCAAGCCCTCGGATAAGGATCCTCGTCGGCATCCAAGCCCACGGCATCCTACTCTCACGCAGTTCTACCGGAAGAAGGAGCTTAATCACTTCGTTGCCACCAAGTGCAGTGCACGGGTTCAGGCTATGGTCGACGAACCTAACGGTAAGGAGAATATCAATCAGTCGTTTCGTACCGTTCCAACTCGGCGCCATGTCTTGCTACCACTGTGGAAATCGGGTTTCATGACGCGAGAGAAGTGGGAAACGATGGCTGCCACAGATGACGATGTCAAACTTTTCCTCGAACTGATGGATGAATTCGGTGACGTGGATTTCAACGACCTTCGGGGTTATCCTTCCGACTGGGAGAACATGACCGAAGTGGACCCCCATCGCGTCCGAATGGCCACCGCTGCTCTGCTGTTCTTCGATGGTGACGCTGCTGCTCTTGTCCGTTGGGTGGGAGGTCCGCATGTGAATGCTCATCGCAATGTTCCAGAGATGCTTCGCTACCTGAAAGGGAAGATCCCCGATGACATCTACGAAGACTGTGAGCGAATCTTTATCCAGGGCATTCCACGGCACTGCAATGCCGATTCCACGGAGGAAAACTTCCAGCAGTTTTTCCAGTACGGGAATCACAAGAGCTGCGAAACTGCACCCGAGAAATCTTACAAGACTCTGGTGAAGGATGTCAAAAAGGGTTACGTCTTACCTTTCGATAAGCGTTGTCATTCCCTTTGTATTGAACTGTCATGTTACCCCCCAAGGCATGGTGGACCTGGACAACAAGTACAAGAAACCGAGAGTGATCTTTGACAGTTCTTTCCGTCCCACCCATTCCTCCGTTTCGATCAACGACTGGACGGACTCTTCGTACGAAAACCCAGTTGTCTGTGTGGCTATCGAACAAGAGTTTATGAAATGGCTGTGGAATGCGCGGATTGACGCCGAGTTTGAGGAAATCTACCTCGGCGACGATGACGTCAGTGTGCCTTCCGTTGGTTGAAATATCACCCCAATTTGGTTGCCATGCATACCTAGTGTCCAGTGTGGTTTCGGCGTGTTCAATACCGGTGGCACCTTCGGAGACAATACAACTCCTTCCAACTGGGATCGGATTGCCCTTGCTCGTGCTTGGCTTGCTCGATGGCTGTGGCTCAATGAGCCCAATGTGGTTGAAATGGCGCGCCAGTATTTACCAACGATCCAGTTCACCCAGAGCCGACGGAGGCTGAAATAGCCAGCTTTTCTAAAGCTACCCGTGATAGTCAGCATCAAGGCATCCATGACAGCGATGGTAATCGTCTCCCTCCACCTTTCCTTCATCATGTTGATGATTGCGCTAAAGCTGATGTGAGGGCTACTATGGAGCGCACGATTGCATGCAGCGTCGTCAGCCTTTACAAGATTCTCGGTGAGCCCTCCCCTGACATCAGCAACCCATTGAGTTTGGAGAAGTTGGATCCCCTCCATGGCCATTGCGCCAGATTTTGGCCGCCATTGGAACACACGGCGATTGTCTATCTCCATGTTGGAGCACAAGAAAACTGAGCTCATTTCCCGCCTCGAGGATTGGCTCCAGAAGGATCGGTTCTATTGCTCGAGGGTGCTGAGCTCCTAGGCGTCTTGGAAAACCACACACGCTATGTGGTTGGGCACGCCCTTGGTTCTTTGCCCTCCAGGATCGGATGCGTACCTTGTTGCAGCGCCTCTATTTCACCCAGCGCAAAACTGGGAACGAATTGGCAGCAGAAGGAGCCGACTTGCATGCAGAGCTACCTGAGGCTCTCTGAAACGTGTCAAAAACATTTGGCACGGGAGAAAGCCCTCCTGATTTGGCGCAACAAAGGAACACCAGACGGTCGATTCGTCCCTTCGCAGTTCCTTGCCAACATTCTCCATTACTTGAAGTCGGATCCTATTCCGTTTGAGGCCAAGATCGGAACCATCATTCCCAGAGACCCCCACGCTATCGCCTGGGGCGATGCAGTGAATATGGCGCTGGTTGGTTACAGCCCCCAACTCAAGTTCTGTTTTGACATTGTTTGGAGTGACCGTGTTCGTCGATGCCTGAAGCTGGACCCCTCTTCGCCCAACTTCATCCACATCAATACAGTTGGAGTTCTTGACGATCATTCTGGAACTGGCTGGCTCCATCGTTGCCCTCCGTTCTCTCTCTCCCGAGGAGAAAACAGAACTTTTCCCTTATGGGTAGCCCGAAATCCCGGTGGTTGTCTTGGTCCGACAACAACGTCGTCTGTTTCTTGGGCGAATCGTGCCACCACCAAGTCCCCCCAGGTCAGCGTTTGCTTGGCTTTACTGTGAATTGTTGCGAACCTCTGGCATCAGTATCACTGCTCAGCATATGCCGGTGTTGAAAATATCCTGGCCGATTTTATCTCACTCCCACCCATTTTGACCTCTCTCATCGTGAACGGGCTGAGCAGCTGTACCAGAAGTTCAGCTTCATGCGAAACTGGAGTTCTTTCCGCCCAAGTCCCGCCTTGCTACAGCTCCTCTCTTGGAGTCTATTCTCCAGATCTCAATGGAGGTACCAAGTCTTCCAAGCGAGCTGGGACAGCTCGTTCCCACCAAGTGCATTTCATCGGGTTCGCTTATGATTTAGACTGGACACTCCAGTCCCAATCTCCCCTCCAATTTTGGAGATCAAAGACGCCGATCCCGAAGCCATCCAACTGGCTTTGTGTATGTATGCCGAGCATCTCTGGTCCGACGGCAGTCTGTATTGTCGGCGCATCAAGGGGAGTACTATCAAAACCTATATCCGTAATGCAGCTGCCCTTCTCCTGAAGGCATCCCAGACCTTTTGCGACTACCGCAAAGATTCTCATTTCTCGAATCCATGGGCCATCATCTGAAATCGATTTACGATAATATCGACAAGTATGAGAAGGCCATCCAGCGGCGCGAAGCTTTCACGCTCCCAATGTTGTACGATGCTATTGCGCGAGCCAAGGTAGCTCCTTGGTCTGACCACATTGACGAAGTCTTGGCCGATTGGTATGTTGTTGCTCTTCGCGCTGGACTCCGAAGGTTGAGTGGGCTCAGCCCGAATCGACCCACATTGATCCTGATTTTCCCTATCGGAACATCTATGGTGATCCCTACGCTTTCTGCTTGGGTGACGTCCAAGTCAAGCTTTACAACGGCACAATCCTGGAAGGTGCCGCTATTCTTGGCACTGCTGACAACCCCATTGACGTGTCAATGGTGGCTGAACTTTGGCTGTGCTTCCGCCAGCAGAAGAATGGAGGAGAATGGGCAGTGGCGACTCTTTGTTGCTTTGTTCGGGTACCCCCACCTCTGTATGGTCTGCGCCATGTTTCGAATCTGCGGCGCTTTATCCGTCTTCGAAGCCTTGAGGATGTGAAAACCCCTTTGTCGGTGTTTGTCTACAATCGATATGCCATGTCCATTCGTTCATCCCCAGGCTATCCTCAAGTCTATGCGTGCCATTGCGCATCTCAGTTTGGTTTTCCCGAGCAAAGATAAGACAGAAACTTCGTCGTTGGAGTTCCCACTCTCTCCGAGGGCGCTTGCGTGCTTCTCTTCAAGCCGGTTAAACGAGATCCAAATCCAATGGCTCCTGCGCTGGAAATCCAACGCTTTATGGATTACTTGCGCAATACACTGGGCCTGGCTCGTCGCCACGCCGATATTCTGCGCCAGAAGACATTCGGTCCTGGCGACTCTATGCCTGACCTTATGTCGTTCGCTGGCAATCATCCTCCCACTGCTATTGCAGTGGTCTAAACAAATAGCTCTGCATTATTCCCCTTTCGTGTGCAAAGCTTTGCCTTCGTGGGTTTTCCCCTCTAGAGTAGGTGGTTTTCTCCCACTCCAGCCGTCCGCTGACTCAGTTGACATGGGGCTTCGGCAGCTGTGTCTACGACACAGCTGCTTCTCAGCTGGACATGGGCTATCAGTTCAATGTTGGTTTCCAACGGTTTTGGCTAGGTGCACCAGATTGCACTTCCAACGGTTTTGGATCCCAACGGTTTTGGTTGGTGCACTAGATAGCACCGTTTCCCAAACTAGCACTATCGTTTCGACACTGCACACACAGGTGTATTTATCGTCCCTAAATAGTCCTAGTGAACTGCCCATGTCATCCGGAGTGCGGACGGCTGAGGCGGTGGCTGGGAGTCGAGGAAGACCTATCGCCATGACTCTAAGCAGAGCAATGTGGAAGCACACTTGCTCCTGCCTGGACTGGTAAGTCACCGTAGATAGAGTTAGTTTTCAGGGGATCAGTCAGTCGGTAGGAGCAAATCCAAGCCACATTGCTAGCAGCCACCAATCGAAGAGGACAAGGGTCCTTTCTTTTTTAAGGGGCTACTCAGTTCAATGTTGGTTTCCAACGGTTTTGGCTAGGTGCACCAGATTGCACCTTCCAACGGTTTTGGATCCCAACGGTTTTGGATTGGTGCACTAGATAGCACCGTTTCCCAAACCCTAGCACTATCGTTTCGACACTGCACACACAGGTGTATTTAGTCGTCCCTAAATAGTCCTAGTGAACTGCCCATGTCATCCGGAGTGCGGACGGCTGAGGCGGTGGCTGGGAGTCGAGGAAGACTCCAACATCGACAGACAGCAGTACGCTAGGAAATCCTCATTATTTGTGCTCCGGAGTACCGGTAGTACGTGTAGATCTTGCTATCATAGCTTGTAGGTTTTTGGCGTTTTGCTGCAGGTGTACTCCCTGGTAGTACAGATTACAGATAGATGCGATTCTTCAAGCGCGCTCACTCCGTTGTCAAACCAAGAGACTGCAAAGGACCAGCTGGGGTCTTTCCCAGGAGAAAAGCATCTTCTTGAGGTTCAATCTTGGCCACCAACGTGCCAATATGCTCAAAAGAGAGATGCGCTACACTAGGGCTACCGCTATGTTTTTGCGGCAATCCTGTTGTTTCTTCCGGAGTCATTGAATTACAGGTATGTACATTAGTTAAGAACCAATAGCCATCTTGGTGAGCTTTCATGAGCTTTCATGCTTCCACATCTTCTTGTTTGCGATCCTCTGCCTCCTCTGTGAGAACTTCATCCTTTTCTGTCTCCGTGTCCGTTGTTCCTCCCTTCGCATTGTAGCTACTAGCCGCCTCACTACCAGGCTTGTTGTTGTCGTCTGCATCCAGCTCTGCGGCGATGACAACATCATCCTTCTCATCACCATTATTTTCACTGGCCAAGAACAAATTGGGATCGTGGTCTACAATGCCCTTCTCCTCATTGACTCGTTTTTGTCGTCGAAAAACTGGTACCAGTAGAGTGGCAAAAGCGTACATGAAAATGGCATACAGCAAGGGGAAGGGAATGGACCGTTCCTTTTGCCACTTGTACTTCATGACTTGCTCTCCAATCGCAAAGCCCAATGCCAAGTTCTGGATTCCCACTTCCATCACAACGGTTCGTCTTGCTGCTGGTGGAAACTTGAGTAATGTTGTCATACCATAACTCAATCCAGTGGCAATGGGAAAGTAAATAAAAGCGGCGACACCAATTTGCCATGTCACATACTGGGTAAGACTATCGCTATATTCCACGAGCAGTACCACAATGACGGCAAGAAAGAAGAGAATGGCCAGGACATGAATGCCTTTTTCCAAAATGTATCGAATTCGGTTGGTGCAGGTGCAGAAATTGAGTGATATCCCAATGGCCAGTGGGATGATCAGCATGGCCAGGGTAATGGCAATCTGATCAATGGCCAGTGGAGTCTCGGTGGTTTCGTTGTATTCGTCGTCAAAGTCAATACCATAAGTACCAAAGATAAAGATCCACAGGGGTGTCATGCCAAAGGATACAACGGTAGACACAATGGTCATGAATACGGAAAGTTCCAAGATTCCATGTCCCCAAATGGTATAAATGTTGGAGGAATTGCCTCCCGGCATGGCACCTGCCACGACCACACCAAATGCAGCGTAGCTCTCAATGCCAAAGATTTTGGTCAAGACGTAGGCAACCACAGGCATGAGGAGGAATTGGCACATCACTCCCACGGCGGCCGCCTTGAGTGCCTGGGGAGACGTTAACATTTTGCGAAAGAGCGTCCATTTGCAACTGGATCCAACCCCGACCATGAGAAGAAAGATTCCCACAGCCAGCACCAATTCGACGGCACTGGAGCTACCCTCATCTTCTACTGTTTGAAGATGTCGGTACCCCAGACGCGAAGAAATTAACGACATGGTTGGTTGGTTGGCTGTTCAAATGATTCTCTTCTCTTCTACTATATGGCCTGCTGATTTAATGAGATTGTCAACCTTCGACTCGGCTGGGGATGGTGATGCATTGGTGCGTGCCCCCTTGCTGCATCGCAGTTGCTGCATTCCTTCTTGAACACTGGTAAGGAGTAAGGAGTGTTATCGTAGGGTACCGTAACCGGTACGGTACCGATAATGGCTAGCTAGCCTGCCGGTACTGTAACAGTGCTTGTGCTCACTTTCCCTTTTTGCTTTTTACCACTTTTTTAGATGCCGCTTTCAAGATATCTTCGCCACGTCACTCCCAACAAAACAAAAACCTGATCTCTATTTCGATTTGCTGAATGATTCGATTCAATCACGTCAGAGATCCACGAACAAAACTCTGCAACCTCCCAACCGAACCTCCACTCACCCGTCATTATCTCCTCTTTGATAGGTCTTGCTAACCTCGACCATGGTGGCTCAAGCTTTACCGTAAGTCGATAATGATGAATCAAACAAAACGGGAAACGAAACCACTGGCGCCCGCTCGTGGTCCTAAAAATCTCGGAGGACCTGTCACTCATCTCTTTTCCCTTTTTCCCATTGCTATTATGATTTAGCCTCGCCAAGATTGGGACCTTGTTCATCAAGACATTGGCAAAACCCGTGAGCAAACGCATCAAAAAGGACTTTTCTCGATTCGAACAGACCCGACGAATGCTGGTGGGGATTGGACAACTGTCCAATCAAGTCACTTCTCGCATGGCCATTTGGAGTGAAGGGTATACGGTCCGAAAGATTAATCCCTTGAGCGACGACAAGGCACTCACGACGGGAGCCGATCTAGTGGGAGAAACCTTTGTCTTGTCCGTTTCGGTCGGGACAGTGATTTGGGAGTACAATCGCAGTGCTGAAAAAGCGCGCCTCAAGGAAGAAAAACTGCGAGCTACTGCCAAGGCGGAACGGGATGCTCTGCAAGCCAATTTTCTGGCTCTGGACGAACGATTAAAAGCACTCGAAGAGGTGGTGCAATACAACAGTCAATCGATTCTAAATGTTGGTGGCAAACGATTGCCGCAACCTCGCAATACAGTACTTATACGGATATCCGATGAAGATGATGACAATTTGCCAATGGTACCAACCACCAAAAAACCAAAGCCGGACGCTCATAATGAGACGCAAACAACTTCTCAGTCGGATCCAAATGCAGATTCTGGCGTGACAGACACAACAACTGAAACAGAAGCACCCTGGTGGAAATTTTGGTGACGACGTTTGCTTGTGCATTGCCAACAAAACAACAAAATGGGGGAATACCTTGATACGTTTTGCTGGCCTCCGTGTCGCAAGATTATGAAGCTTTTTCTACATGTATAAAATGACCATACAGTACAATTTGAAAATGAACGTGACATCACTGTACGTATCTATCCACCGAGTTCTAAATTTTTGTACTATTCCCTGAAATGTGTCGCTACAACCACCATCAAATGGACAACAATCTTCCAATTATCTGACTTTATGGGTTTCAGGTTGCTATCATTTCACGACGAGTAATCTGGTACATAAGACTACCGTATCTAGCTAGTAGTACATGTAGCTAGCTAGAGTGAAGAATGGGCTACCGGTACTTGAAAGGTGGAAGCCTGAAAGCTTCGTTGGTCACAGAATTGAGGAAACAGTCAAGATAACCCCATCCTTAAAATTAGGGGAGTATCTTTGCGATTCGGCTTTTTTTCAGCGTTCGTCTCCTGTTTCCTCAGTTTGCTGGCTACTTGGATCCATATGACGAATACACCCAATCTACGATACCGTAGGCAGAGAGTTACATTGATCCGTGACAGTGTCAACAGTACCGAACACACTCAGGTCCAGCCATTGTAGCCAGCTACGATACCGTATGCAGAGAGTTACATTGATCCGTGACAGTGTCAACAGTACCGAACACACTCAGGTTCCGCTTTACTGGCTACACTCCGTTACCGGTACCTTTCATTGGATCCTTATGACGAATCCATGCACAACCGAACATTGTCAATCCAGCCATCGTAGCCAGCTACCGTAGAGTTCATCGATCAGTGACAGTGGCAACAGTACCCAACATACTCAGGTTCGACTTTCCTCGCTGCACTCGGTTACCTCGCATTGGATCCTTATGATGAATACACGCACAACCGAATATTGTTAATCCAGCCATTGTAGCCGGCTACAGTTGCTACCGTACAGTTACATCGGCGACAGTATCAACAGTACTGAACACACTCAGGTTCCGCTTTGCTGGCTACACTCCGATGCCGGTATCTTGCATTGGATCCTTATGACGAATACATGCACAACCGAACATTATGAATCCAGCCATTGTAGCCGGCTACGGTATAGCTACATTGACGACAGTGGCAACAGTACCGAAAGTTCGGCTTTGCTCGCTACGGTTACCGGTACTTCGCATTGGATCCGTACGACGAATACATGCACAAAACCGAATATTGTTAATCCAGCCATTGTAGCCGGCTACAGTTGCTACCGTACAGTTACATCGGCGACAGTATCAACAGTACCGAACACACTCAGATTCCGCTTTGCTGGCTACACTTTGTTGCCGGTATCTTGCATTGGATCCTTATGTCGAATACATGCACAACCGAACATTATGAATATTGTCAATCCAGCCTCCACAAGCACTGTTCCCATGGGAAAATGGGTACCAGCACAGGAATCACCACCAAAACACTATGAAATAACACTGGAGGGGTGAATCCAGTAGTAGGATCCACTCTCTTGTGTGTTGTCGCCTCCTCCGGTTGACTGTCGCCGTTCAATGACTCGACGACGATCCGTTCAGACTGTTGGTAGGGCTGGAGTTAACAGTCTCCTCCGTACCGGTAGTGGTAGCCTCTCCTCTTCTTGTTCTCCAGAGCGACCGATCGTTCGTTCGACCTCGACAATGGTATTTCCTCGGCCGTCAGCAGTGACATACGCACGTGTGTGACGTGGCGTCCTAACGCTAGTTTTAAGTCTAATCTCACAATATTCCGATCGTAGTTCACTCTGAATTCAGAAGCAAGTTCGGTTGGAATTTGCACATCAAGCAAAAGAAACTTCCTGCGTACATTCTACGCAGCCGTGTACTAGGCGTTTGGCCATTGTCAAACAATTTCGAAAATTCGCTCGATTACTATTAACAACGGTAACTCAAGGGTGTAACTCAATACGAAGTTACTCCTTTTTTTTCTTTCATTATCATTACTTGCGACTCTTACTAACACAAAGCCGCAAGTACTGTTGTTTGTTATTTCCTTTTAGGTTCATTATCTCACCATGACGACGCTTGGTCAGTCGGGCAAGAATCCGGTCATTCCGTTGGTCTCGGAGTACAATGCGAGTGATGTCGCTACTACTGAGTTGTTCCGTTCTTGGCAACATGCTGGAAACAACGTCAAGCGGAAGCATGACATGATTGTATTGGCAGACGAACAAGAACCGGAACACGTCCTTCGATCATCAAGGAGTTCGATCAATGACCGGCAACTCAGCATTGAACTTGGACACGGGACATTGAGGCTAACTTCTTTGTCAATTCTTCAAGGCTCTGCTCGAGACAATGGAACTGATTCGAGCAGCACGTCCTGGTGCAGCAGTTGCTGATTTCGATGCCTGCGTGACGTCGTTCATTGCTAAGTTCGTTGAAGACACGGATCTCGCTGATCAGACGCGATATTTGCAGACTGCGACCAAGCCATTCAAACTCGATATTTGCAGACTGCGACCAAGCCATTCAAACTCGATTGCAAGACCCTGTGGTCTCGATTGGAGTACATCAATACCTTGATGGCGAAGTTTCTGGTGCAAACAATGCGAACCCTTTTGATGCTGCGGCTCTCAAGATGATGTTTTACAACATGATGCTTCCTCAGTGGAAAGACAAGTTTGCCGATTCTGCTCATGACATTACGGTTATCGGCCCAGTTCAAATGGTTCGTTTCTTTGCCCATCAAGAAAAGAATTACAACGCTCCGCCAACAAGGCTCTCGTGGCCGTGGTGGTCTGGACATTCTCGTGGTCGTTCTGGCCGCGATTTGGAAGAAGTGGACGCTCTTCTGGCTATCGTCGTACATATGGACAAGACGATGGTCCTCGAGTTGGTTACTATCCGCCTTCCCAGCGTTTCCGTCGTGGAGGATGGAGTCGAGCTCCTACCTGGACGTACAATCGTAGTCCTCCAAGAGAATACCAACGTGGACAACCAGACGACAGCAACGAACAACACTACTCCGGTGCGCAACTTGCCGGACGTTTCGGTCGTGGTAGCTATGCCTCATCACCTCATGGTTGTGGACGTGGACGTGGTTATAGTCCTCGCCGCGATAATTTTGTGGCTGACGGTGATGTTCGCGAGGAGTGTGTTCCACGTCGAAGAACAATCTCTCAGGTTCCTGCGGTTGCTCATGCCGCCTCCTGAAGAAACAGACGAGATTTATTATCAGGAAGAGCCCCATTACTTTGATTCCATGACAGGGGGTTACGATGAATATGAAGAGTCGTATGGATACGGTGGCGATTATTGACCATCTACAAGGGTCTTTGAGAATTATGAAGCGGCGGCTGAGGGAATCAATGTTGACAAGGACTTGGTGCCGATGGCGCTTTGCGTCCTACATAGTATATAAATAAACACGTCTGATAGACCGTTATTAGTCCTGATGGACTCTGTTTCTAGTGGAACCTGGATTAGTGAAAGCTTTGCCTAAGGGAACAGTCACTCGCATTGGTGACGTTGTGTCCACCACGACATTGGCTGCAACGTCAAATCGAACGTGTTGTTACCTTAGACCGTTGTGTTTTCCAGAGTTCTACAAGTCCCGTTTCATCGATGTGCCCATGCTCGAGTCTTTTCCGCGAGCAATGTTCGGTATGACATGATCATTGGACGCGACATCCTCCTTGAGATGGGATTGAAGATTGATTTCAAGGGACACAAGATGACATGGGACGAGGTTAGCATCGACATGAGACCTTTTCCTTCGTCTTCGATTGACAAGAAGACTCCTCCTGCTACATCGATGTTCCTTGACCTTCTTGAAGCAGATCTAGAAGACGACGATACTCTGCCTACAGTGGCTTCCACGGATTGCTGTGAGACGACTTGGATGACGATTTGGACGACATGCTCCCCGAATCCGAAAAAGAGTCTTCATGTTTTGCAACTCGTGAAGAAGAAGAGAAGGCAGCAGACTTGGGTTACAAAACCAAGCACATCCTCGAATCTAAGTACGAAGGGGCCGATATTACGCCGTTGTTCGGTCCTGCACTCATCTTTCTCAAGAACAACAGAATGATCTTCGTGGTGTCCTTGAGAAATATGACACCTTGTTCAGTCCTGAACTTGGTAAATATACCGGCGGACAAATTAGTTTGGAGATTGATCCTACAGTTCCGGCCCATCGAAGCCGACACTATACTGTTCCTCATCACCAACAAGACATTTTCAAGAAAGAATTGGATAGGTTGGTTTCCCTTGGCGTTCTTGAAGAAGGAAGTCGTTCCGAATGGATTGCTGGTACTTTCATCATCCCGAAGAAAGACGGTCGAGTCGGTGGATCTCTGATTTCCGTGGCCTCAACAAAGCAATCAAGCGCAAGTTTTATCCAATTCCTCGCATCGCTGATATCTAGCTCGCGCAAGAACTATGCATTCCTTACAAAGTTGGATATCTCGATGCAGTATTACACCTTCGAACTTGACGATTTCAGTTCGAATTGTTACCATTGCTACCCCTTTGTGGCTTTACAAGTACAGGCGACTCCCAATGGGCGTTTCCCAATCTCCGGATATCGTCAAGAAATCATGGAAAAGTTACTCAAAGCTCTTGATGACATCGAAGTCTATATCGATAACATTGGTATTTTCAGTTCCGATTGGCGCTCTCATCTCGACAAGCTCGATCAAGTCTCAGGATCCTACAAGAGGCCGGTTCACAATCAATTCCGTTGAAGTGTGAATGGGCCGTGCAAGAAACCGATTTTCTGGGACATTGGTTACTCCCATCGGTGTTAAGCCTATGGCGAGAAAGTGCGCGCCATTCTGGACATGAAAGCACTACTGATATCAAACAATTGCGTTCGTTTCTCGGTTTGGTACTTATTACCGTGATATGTGGCCTCGTCGTTCTCACACCTTGGCACCCTTGACAAAGCTAATTGGTACCAAGAAATTTGAGTGGACCGACGAGCAAGAAAAGGCTTTCAAAGCCATGAAAGCCGTGGCGGCAG